CTACATAAGGGGAGATGCCTGGGGACATGAGAATGACAAGAGGAGAGACTGACTGGAGAAGGCGGAGTGGAATCAAGGGAGAAGTAGAGATAGAGAGGGGGGATGGAGAGTATGCTGGTCAGACAGGTGGGGAGGGGGGCAGAAGAGGGGCTGAATCGGGTCCACAGCCGCGCACTTGGGGCAGGAATCACCAAGGCTGGAGTGACCACTAGGCCACCAAGAGCCAGATGTATGAAGGTGGAGCCAGTGCGATGCTGCTTGCTATTTTCCATATGAAAAAAACTGAAGCACCACCGACTGCCGGAGGGCTAGGGACCCTCTGATATCTCTCCTGAACTCTTCTGGTACAAGGTCGTAATCTCACTGACAGCAACTAAGTAAGCGCTATATGCATAGAGAAAAGCCTGGAAGGACCTCTCGTCCGGGAGGGACTACAATGGGCAACAGGTAGACCAGACATGGTTACATATACATGATATATGTAACTGCATAGTCTTAAGCCAGAAAGCAGGTACACAGGTGTTGATAATATTATTCTTATACTTTTCCATACATCAACATATCTTATTTTTAAAAAATCTCTGTAGGCGAATTTGCCAAAGTCTTAGCAGGGGTTCTTTGGGAGAATGGAATTATCACAACTGTTATTATCTTCTTTTCACTGCTGGTATTTTCCAAATGCTCTACATTGAGCAGATATGGAAAAATAACTAAACCTTTTAAAGTAAACTCTTCCTGCTATGACCATAGTTTTAAGTCTTCAGTGGAAATTAAACATAACTGTTTGAGCCCCCTCATTCTCATGTCCTTTCTCTCATCGGTTCACAGGCTCAGTAAGCCAGCAGCTCCTCCACACTCTTCCCCCCCCCACCCCCACCCTGAAACCAACGCTTTTCCTAAGCAATGCTTTCAGCTCTCTTAGTTCCTGGATCCCAAGATCACTAGGTTTATAATAAGAAAGAAAAGGGCTTGGGGCGCCTGGGTGGCTTAGGCGGTTAAGCGTCCGACTTTTGCTTAGGTCATGATCTCACAGTTCGTGGGTTCTAGCCCCTCATCGGGCTCTGTGCTGACTGCCAGCTCAGAGCCTGGAGCCTGTTTCAGTCTGTGACTCCCTCTCTCTCTGACCCTCCCCTGTTCACGCTCTCTCTGTCTCCTAGAAATAAAAAAAAAAAAATTTAAAAAATTAAAAAAAAAAAAAAGAAAAGGGCTTGAGTCTTAGTGACCTTCTGGTTTGGGTACCTGACCACTCTAAATCTTAGTTTCTCTATTTGTAAAATGACCCAAGATTTTTGAGAGGACCAAATGAGATAATACAGATAAAGCACTCAGCCTTAATTAACAGTGCCTGGAACATAGGAGGTATTTAATAAATTAGCATCATCATCTTCATCATTGACGACTGCCTACTGCTTACTCTAGGAAGTCTTCTTGACTTGATGAAAGAAATATTTCAGCCTGAACTGAGCACCAAATTGGCCTTCTCCTGACCCAAAAACATCTGGATCCCAGTCTCCTCTCTGCCAGTAACTGTGTGACATTGGGCAAGTTCCTCCCCTTCCCAATGCCTTAGTTTCCTCATCTGCAAAACGGTAGGCTTAGACTTCCTGTTCCAATAGTCTATGACTAGGGTAACCATATAAACCAGAATGTTTTTGAGAGAAATGGGCACTATCAATAATCATTTCAGGATGACACGTTTAATGCAGAACAATCCCAGGCACACTGAGAAGTCTGGTCCCTCTACCCTTAACAGATCCATTATCTCCTTGCCCACCAGTGCGGTAAGCAACATAATGCCCCCTCCTCACAAAGATGGCCACTTCCTAAACCCTGGAAACTGAGGATATGTTAGATCACATGACAAAAGGAATTAAGGTTGTAGTTCAATTGACCTTGAGATGGGGAGATCATTCTGGATTATTTGGGTGAGCCCAGTGTAATCACATGAATCCTAATAAATTGAAGAGGCAAGTAAAAGTGGGAGTGCCAGAGTGACACAATGTAAGAAAGGCTTGACCAGCCATCACCAGCTTTGAAGACGGGTCCAAGTAAGGCGGGCAACCTCTAGACGCTGAAAAAACTAAGAAAATGGATTTTCTCCGGGGTGCTTGGGTGGTTCAGCTGATCAAGCAGCTGACTTCAGCTCAGGTCATGATCTCGTGGTTCCTGAGTTCAAGCCCTGTGTTGGGCTCTGTGCTGACAGCTCACAGCCTGGAGCCTGCTTCAGATTCTGTGTCTCCTCTCTCTGCCCCTTCCCCACTTGCACTCTCTCTCTCTCTCTCAAAAATAAATAATAAAAACATTTAAAAAATTAAAAAAAGAAAAGAAAATGGATTTTCCCCTAGAGCCTCCAGAAAGGGATGCAGACCTGTTGATGCCTTGATTCTAGCCCAGTGAGACCCCTTTTGATCTTCTGACACCCAAGACTGTAAGATAATAAATATATGTTGTTCTCAGACACTGAGTTGGTGGTGATTTGTTCTAGCAGCAATAGGCAACCAATACACCTGGTATGGCTCAGTGAGAGTCCCTGTGGCTGGTTGTTCCATGAATGCTTCCATGAATCCTTGGAGCTCAAGAGAACTAGTCTAAGCACCAGAAGAGCTAAATTCTAGTCCCTGCTCTGATATTAACTCACCCTGGGCCCTTGAACAGGTCAGGTAACTCCTCTTCGGCCTCAGTTTTCTCTGTAAAATGGGGGATAACATTCCCTGCCTCATCTATCCCTGTGGTGGTGGTGGGGTTTGTCCCACATTCAATGACTCATTTTATGCTTAGCTCTGTGCTGGGGGCTGGAGCACCAAGATGAACCAGACCTAGTCCCAACGCCATCCCTGCTCTCAAGGTGGGTACATAGATGTGTAAGCAGGTGATTAAAATACAATACGATGAACAGAGAGTTTATTATGAGTGTACACTTAGAAATATAAAGGCCCACCTGCTCGGGGTGGGGGTGGGAGGATGGACAGGAAAGGCTTCCTGGAAAAGGTGGTACCAGAGCTGGGCCTTAAAGGTTGAGCAGGAGAAGCCAGGCAAAGCAGACAAGGAGGGTAGGGAAGAAGGAAGAAAGAACAATTCAGACAGAGAAAACAGCAGAGAAGCAAGCCCCCAGAGATGTGACTCAGCACGGCACAGGGGACAGAGATACAAGCAGCTTGGTGGTAATTGACTAGGAAAGCCTGAGTATAAAGGGGATGCTATGAGAATTAAGTGGAATGATGTGTGAAGGCATGATGTGAGCACAAGGTTGTATTATCGGTCTGTGTGTCCCCCAGACAGGTGCTGGGTCAGGAGATGATCCGTAATGTATGATTCCTCTTGACCTGGCTCTTCTGGTTGTCTCACCCTCACATGCCCCCCAGACATGTGCCAAAGGCCTGGTGGCTGCCCCAGTCTACTGGGGGGAATGAGGCCGTGCAAAATTACAGCCACTGAAAGAGGCTGGCGTGACCTCAGGAGCTGGGTTTCATCATTCTGAAATCATGCTCCTGGCCTTAGTCAGAGGCAGAGAGGTGGGGAGGAGAGGGTGGGAAAGCAAAGCGGGTGGCAGCAGGTTTGGGCGAAGTGCCGGGGCTGAAGGAGAAAGCAGCTGGCACCAGCAGGGGGTGAGACTCCAGCTTGGATTGCATTCATCATGCTGTGTGACCTCAGGCCAGATCCTTGCCCATTCTGGGTCTCTCTGGGCAGGATGGGTCCTTGGTGCTGTTCCCAAGGCCTGTCCCTAGTGGAGCCTCCTTATGGAAGTAAGAACCCTGGGGTCTTCTGGTCATTCCTGTGCATCCGGCTCTTTGTGGATAGCAGGGGCCTGTGCCCGGCCTGTCGGGGTCTGGGGCAGGGCTCCAGCAGTAGTCTGCTCCATTCAATCCATGTTTCCAGCCGAGTCATGCCTTTGTGAAGCACATGAAGCTAACTTGCTTCTATCAGGGCCAAACCTATACAGATGTTTCTAAGTTTAGGGTTACCTGGCTCACACTACCCGGGAGTGCTTTCCATTTGCATTCTGCATCCTTGTCCAGTCCTTTTAGCAGCAGTGTCTGGGTGAGGCCAAATATCTTAGTTTGCTAGGGCTGCCATTGCTAAGTACCACAGATTGGGGAGCTCAAACAATAGAAATGTATTTCTCACAATCCTGGAGGCTAGAAGTCCAAGATCAAAGTGTTGGTAGGGTTGGTTTCTTCTGAGGCAACTCTTTGGCTTGTACATGGCCACCTTCTCGCTGTGGCTTCATACGGTCTTTCCTCTCTGTCCATGTCCTAACCTCCTCTTAAAAGAACGCTGGTTGTAGTGGATTAGGCCCACCCAGTGATTTCATTGAATTCAATTACCCTTTTAAAGGTTCTATCTCCAGGGGTGCCTGGGTGGCTCAGTTGGTTGAGCGTCTGACTTCGGCTTAGGGCATGAGCTTGTGGTTTGTGGGTTCGAGCCCTGCATCGGGCTCTGTGCTGACAGCTAGCTCAGAACCTTGAGCCTGCTTCGGATTCTGTGTCTCCCTCTCTCTGACCCTCCCCTGCTCACGCTGCCTCTCTCTCTCTCTCAGAAATAAAAACATTAAAAAAAATTTTTTTAAATAAAGGTCCTATCTCCAAATACAACCAATTTCTGAGTTACTGAAGGTAAGACTTCAATATATGAATTTTGAGGGGGATACAATTCAGCCTGTAAGTAACATTGGGCTTTGGAATTGCTAGTGAAGCTTTTCTAAATCCAGCTGTCTGGGCCCATCCCAAGAGATTCTGAGTATAAACTGCATGAAGGCAGGCCAGGGACTTTGCCCACTACTGTATCCCTACAGCCTAGAACTGTGTCCAGCACGTGGTACATGTGTGAAAATATTTGTGGAACGAAAGAATGATATAATAAGCTTGGGATGGGGCACATGTGTTTGTCATGTACAAAGTTCCATAGCTGATTCTGATTCATCTAGGGGTGGAATCCCCTTGAGATATGATTGGGTTTCATCTTTCCTGTTGCTGGATGGGAAGCCTAAGGATCAGTAAGGAGTGCTCACTTCGGCAGCACATATGCTAAAATTAGAAGGAGACAGAGAAGGTTAGCATGGCCCCTGTGGGAGGGTGACATGCTAAGTAAGGTTCAGTAGGTAAAGGCAATATGGCACTCCACAAAGAATGTGGGCTCTTTGGGTCTGCCCCAGCACCCCTCCAGGATGCCCAGGATATGAGGGAAAAGGGAAGACTAGACCTCATGCTGTCTTTCGTACCTCTTTATCTAGCTCTTCATCTGCATCCTTTATAATATCTTTTCTAATAAACTGGTAAACAGCAGTGTTTCTGAGTTCTGTGAGCTTCTCTACCAAATTAACTGAACCTGAAGAAGAGGTCAAGGAAACCTCCAATTTATAACCAATTGGTCAGAAGCACAGATGGTGGGAGTCTTGTAGGACTGAGCCCTTAACTCATGGGATCTGATGGTATCTCCAGGTAGACAGCATCACAATTGACTTAATGGTGAGTTCAAGCCCCGCATCGGGCTCTGTGCTGACGATGCAGGACCTGCTTGGGACTCTCTCTCTCCCTCTCTCTGTCTCCCCTGCACTCTCTCTTCCTCTCAAAAATAAATAAATAAACTTAAAAAAATTGCCCTAATGGCTTGGTGGTGTTGGAAAATACTCAACGTGCCTTCAGCACCCTTCACATGTGGCCCCTGTCGACCCCCAGCCTCACCCACCCTCACTCCTGCCAGGCTATCATTTAAACCACATGAAATCCAACACAATTCCCTGATCCTGTCATGCCACTTACCTTCTCCTCCTAGTGTGGGCTTCTCAGAATGCCTTTCCCTGCCTTGTTTGCCTAGAAATGTCTCCTCAAGCTACACTGGAGCTCGAGGCCTTCTCTGACAGCCCAGGCTGGGGGTCGAGGGGACATCTTCTGGGCCTGTAGAGTCCCCTGTGCTGCCTTCATATCATATTCTGATCACACTGGGGACAAATGCCCATTCTGATGCTGCCTCTGCCAGACTGGGAGCACTTGAGTTCAGGGCTGAGTTGGTGCGTAGTATCTATGTCCTGATGCCTTGCCCAAGGCAGGGCTCTGAGTCTAAGTCCTCAGCAAGATTTCAGGGATTAAAGAATGAATGCTGCAGGGAAGAACAAATGCTCCAGAGGCAACTGAAGGAGGGATAAGGGAAGCTCCACACAGGGTCTCAATGCAAGAATCATTTTTCAAAAGGTGACCTTCTTCCTGACCTCACCTTCACCTCCCTGCATCCCAGCCCCGCTCAGTCCTATGGAGTGTCGGTGAGGCGGCCTGGCACAGCAGGTGAGCTCTTGAGCTGGCCAGTGCACAGCAGAGGCTGGGAAGCAGAATCTTAGTCTCAGGTGGAGACCTCAGGCTGGTTGGGCTGGTCAGGAAAGCTCGGAGAGGTGAGAGAGCAGTGGCCCCAAGGAGAAGAGACTGGAAAATACCAGTAATGGGGAGAAAGGAGGGGTGGGGAGAGGTGGGCAGCTGGGAGGCCAGAGACTCAATTTCTACTCAGCGCCATTGTTCGGCCTCAGAGAAGCTCCCCTGATCTGACCTTTCAGCAAGTTCCTCCCTCTCTGGGCCTCAGGGTCTTAAACTGAAAATGGGGGCAGCCAGTCTGGACTAGATGATCGTTAATGTCTTTTTTAGCCCTGGCCAAGAAGATCTGGGAAAAGTGTAGCAGCCTTAAAGGTGTCATTTGAAACGACTGTCTCCAGGCTGGCACACAAACTTCAGGGGCTCACATCTAGCCAGGCATTGGGGGAACGTGTCTCTGGGCCTGGAAAGAACTGGAAGCAGCCTCCCCCTGTCTCCTGCTCTGGACTTGGCTCACAGTTCTGGCAGGCCCAATGCGGCCCTCAGCTCTAATGAGGCTGGCCACCTGGGGAGCCATAGAAACCCAGCCTGGCCGATTTTGTGGTGAAGCCATGGTCACTTTGCCTAACCCTGAAGGGATGCTCCTAAATGTGGCCTAGGGGCTGCCAACAGCCTTCATGGGCCACCTGGGACTCGAAGGAGCACATCTGGTTGGGCGGGACTGAAGGAAGCTCCAAGCCGCAGGGTCCAGGAACCAACTCCTGGGCCATGTGGACAACCTTTGTTGGCCCTGCACGCCCTGGGCCCCACCCCGCCAGGACAGGGCCTGCTGTCCTGAGCCCTTGCCTGCAACTATTCCCTGAGCTGTGATTTCTGATTCAATTGGTGAAGACAGGCCTCCTGGGATGAGCCAGTTGCCCTCCGCACCCTCCCCCGCCCCCCCCCCCCCCCCCCCCCCCCCCCCCCCCCCGCTTTGTTATTTGCTTCTCAAAGTTGGAAAAACTACATTGTGCACCTGGCAGTACTTGCTGCTGCTGGGGGAGGGAGGGTTCTTTCTTCTTTTTTTTTTTTTTGTTTTTCTTCTTTCAAGAAACAGAAAGTAACCCCTGTGCTTACTGCAACCAAATCCATTTTACTGGCCTTCTGCATCTCCCACTGCAATAATAATAACCCCTTACATTTGATGAGTCTTTTATGGTTTACAAAGCACTTTCTTATGCATTCTCCTTTTTGGTCCATGCAACAGTTTTGGAAAAGAGGGCTGGTATTATTATCCCTGATTACAGGTGAAGAAACTCAGCCTCAGAGACTGAGATCAGCTGCCCAAGGTCACACAGCAAAATGGAACTGAAGCCAAGAACCTAGGTCCTCTGACTCAAGTCCTTGGTTCTTTCCCCAGCACCACACACCCCTCATGCCACTTGAATGACCAGGGTCTCAGACACACTCTTCCAGAAACAAGGGCAGAAGGCTCAGCTGCCCCCACCATGCTCTTATTTCTGAACTTTTTCCTTGGTGAAATTAACCACCACCTCTCCTTACCAATCGCCTCTAAGCCAATGGCTCTCACATCTGTGCTTCCCTCTGGGACCTGAGAAATTTAGATCCTACCCTGCCTCTCCAGGTCTCTTCAATGTTCCCAGCTACCCCTCACCCAGCTTAGAAAACTCAGCTTTACCTTAGTTTCATGTCTCTTTCACTTTCTAAATCCAGTTGTCATGGGCATTTTACTTAATTATTATATATTTTACTTTATTTTTGAGAGAGAGAGAACACGAGAAGGGGAGAAAGGCAGAGGGAGAGAGAGAATCTTAAGCAGGCTCCACACTCAGCATAGAGCCGGACATGGGGCTTGATCCCATGACCCTGGGATCATGACCCAAGCCAAAATCAAGAGGTGGTCACTCAACTGACTGAGCCACCCAGGCGCCCCAGTATTTTATTTAATTATTAATCAAGTCATTTAGAAATACTAATTATATGCTATACCTTTACAGCCAATTCTGCATCCCACTGTCACATAATATTTAGTCTTGTGTGTCCAGCTTCTTTTCTTTAGTGTAATGTTTATAAGGTTCATCCATGTTGTAGCATGTGTAAGACTTGTCCCTTTCAATGCTTGAATAATATTCCATTGTATGGATATACCACTTTTTCTTATCTGTTCATCAGTTGAAGGACACTCGAGTTGTTTCTACGTTTTGGCTATTATGAATAATGCTGCTACAAACATTTGTATACATGGTTTTTCATGGGCATATGCTTTACTTCTTTGGGTATATACCTAGGAGTAGAATTCCTGGATCATATGGTAACTATAAACTGCAAAACAGCCTTCTAAAATGGTTGTACATTCCCACCAGCAAGGTATGAGGGTTCCAATTTATCCACTTCCTCATTGACACTTGTTATCCTCTATCTTCTTTATTATAGGCAATCCAGTGGGTATAAAGTGGCTTCCCATTGTAATTTTGATTTGCATTTCTCTAATGACTAATGATGCTGAGCGTCATGTGTTTATTGGCCATTTGTATATATTCTTCGGAGAAATGTTGGTTCAGATCCTTTGCCTGTTTTTCAGTTGGATTATTGTCTTTTTACTGTTGAGTTGTAATAGTTCTTTATGTGTTCTGGATACAGTTCTCTTATCAGAGAAATGATTTGCAAATATTTTCTCCATTTGGTGGTCTTTTCATTCCCTGAGGGCGTCCTTCAAAGTCCAATTTACCTCCATTTTCTTTTGTCACTTATCCTTTTGGTGTTTAAGAAGGCTTGGTCTAATTCCAAATCACAAAGATTTATCCGTGTCTTCTCTGAAGAGTTTTATAGCATCAGTTATTACATTTAAGTACCATGGTCCATCTTGAGTTCAGTGTTTTTATTAAAGAAATTTTTTATTGTGGTAAAATATCCATTACATAAAATGTACCATCCTAACCATTTTAGAGTGTACAGTTCAGTAGTTTTAAGTACATGCATGTTGCTGTGTGACCAATCTCCAGAACTTTTCATCTTGTGAAATTAAAACTCTATACTCAGTAAAGAATTCCCCTTTCTCCCTACCTTTAGCTTCTGTTGATTTATTTTTTATGTATACTGTTGAAGAAAGGGGCTTATCATTATTCCTTTGCATGTGGATATCCAGCTGTTCCAGTACCATTTATTGAAAAGACTATTCTTTTCCCATGAATTGTCTTGGCACTCTTGTAAAACATCAATTGACCATAAGTATATAAGGGTTTAGTTCTGGACTATCAATTCTGTTCCACTGATCTATATGTCTATCCTTATGGCAGTATCAGACTGTTCTGATTACTGTATATTTGCAGTAAGTTTTTAAATCAAGCAATATCAGTTCTCCAACTTTGTTCTTCCTTTTCAAAATCATGTTGGCCATTTTTGGTCCTTTGCACTTCTGTGTGAATTTCAGGATTAGCTTGTCAATTTTGGGGGGAAGAAAGCCACCTTGGATTTTGATAGAGATTGCATTAAATCTGTAGATCAACATAGGAAGTATTGCCATCTTCACAGTATTGTTTTTTGGTTCATGAACATGGAATATCTATATCTTTCAACAGCATTTTGTGGGTTTCCAAATATAAGTTTTTCACTTCTTTTGTTAAATTTATTCCCATTCTTTGTGATACTATTATAAATGAAAATTTCTTTTTTTTAATGTTTATTTATTTATTTTTGAGGTGGAGAGGGACAGAGAAAGAAGGAGACAGAAAATCCCAAGCAGGCTCCGCATGGTCAGTGCAGAGCCTGATGTGGGGCTCAAACCCGTAAACCAAACCACGGGATTGTG